TGCAGAGTTAGTGCCGAACATTTTTTCTCTACACTATTAGGTTGATCGATAGACGGTTTGAGCTACTAGCTTAATCGAAAGACGATTTTAATGGCGTCACGTTTTGCTCATTGCTCATCTTTACCACTACCTTATCTCTCCTTATGTCGAGTTCTCCCAGTGAGCAGGCTCACGTACAATATCGGAATATCCATGGAAACTAAGCTTTGCATTAGGAGCAGTTACAGGGTTGTCGATTTCATGGAAATCGCAAGGCCATTTCTGAAATTGAAATTCCATACGGAAATTTCCATGAAATTTGTTTCAAAGGTGGAAAAAGAAATTTAGCTCCGCCGGTACCGGCGGAGGCCTTGTTTCTCTGAGAATCTCTGCTTGGTCTTGTCGAAAAACTCCTTCGAACAGAGTTCCCCAGTTTCTCTAAAAATATCAGCCCTGATCTTTTTTTGCTTCTCCATATGTGAGTGACTTGTACCCCGGATGAAGCGAGCCTAGGAGCGCGTTGGTGCTGTTAGTAAGTAGTGTCTCTGAGACTCCGGTTCATAGCCGTAGCTAGAGCAACAAGATTCTTATGAAATGATCCCCAGCTTGCACCTTAAGCAAGAAGTGCAAAATCTTGGGAGTGAACTTGAGGTGAGGATACCAGCAACATGTTGTGAAACGGTTATGACATCTGTCGAGCGTCATTTCAATCGATCTCTCCTTGAATCGGTCCTGATCGCGAATGCGATGGTCAATTCGTTATGTCTTGTATAGCGTCTAATTGAAGTTTATATATGAATTTGGGTAGAAGTATACAGAAATGAATAAGAAATACCAAAATTTCCTCTCAGAATTTCTTCATATTTTCATCACCAACACCTTTGCATACTTTCACATTCGCGTTTGAACCTTGGCGTCAAGTGATTCACATTGTTATCATGTTGATGTTCGAAATCTTAATAATCGACGGTGTTGGAGATTAATACTCTCAAACTAGGTGTATATAATCGTGCGTGAAAAAATAACATTTTCGAATTCTCATTACATACTCTCACACTTTCAGCAAATGCATTGCTTCCCAGTTATTAATTCTAAAAGCCTCCCAACACTACAATTCTACTCTTTTCAATGCATTACTAAACCTACATCGTGCGTAATTTTATCACGTTTTCGAACATTTTCAACTTCTGTCGTTGCTTCCTATTCGTTTTAGTTCACCACGTTCATAATAGGTATCATATTCATACCTCAACGGTCTTTGACGAAATTGCTATGTTCGATTTGGATATGATCCGAAGCTAAACCCAGAAGCAGTGAAATTTCAGGTGAGTTGAAATTTCATTGAAATGATCGGTGTTGGAATATATGGAATCGCTTTCCTCAGCTGCTGATCTCAGAAGAGTTTCCTATACAGTGTTGAAGTGGGAATATATCTAATCGCTTTCCTCAGCTGCTGAGCTCTTTCCTATACAGTGTTGGAGTAGGAATATATAGAATCGCTTTCCTCAGCTGCTGAGCTCAGAAGATTTTCCTATACAGTGTTGGAGTAGGAATATATAGAATCGCTTTCCTCCAGGGTTTGCCCTTTGGGCACGGGCGGAAATTTCCGAAGGAAATTTTCGAGAAAATTTCAGAAATTTCCGTTGAGGCTGGAAATTCTTGGAAATTTGCTAAAAATTCCCAAAAAATCGTGCCCAGGGTAGTAGAGAGGAGAGAAGTAGTTCAGATTCATTCATAATGGCCGAATAAAGCTAGTGAAGGCGTTCGCAGGTGTCTACTGGTCACTATGAATACATCTTGCGGTTACCCTCAGTCTAAGGGCCTCAGATATCGATCAGGTGGGCGTGCGCGTGAGCCTCTCAAGAGTTAGCGATTCTCCAACTATCTTGCAATCTTGCGTTCTCTCTCTCGAGAGTCGAATAGTGTCGGCGTAGCTCCAGTTATTTTCACGGTTGGCGCTATCGACCTACTTGGCTGGAGTCCAGTGGACTAAGTCCACCATATCTTGCGTTCTATCGAGTACATCTTCGGCGGTAATCTTCGCATTCACACGTTAGCTGTAACTCGCACGAATTTGCGTCACTTTGGATAAGCTGCTGAGCCCCAGCATGATGGACGGTATCCGAGGTGGAGACCCATAGCCTATGGGTTTGGGCCCTATGGGCCATAGGGCGTAGACATCGATCACTTTCTCCCGTAATTCAGGATGATTATGGTGGTCCACCATTGGTGGATGAAAAACGAGATGAAATATCTCATTTCCCCTCTAAGAGCCCAAGCTTGTGCTCACGTTCGACCCAGAACAGTAGACTCAGTTACCTAGGATACAAACTGAAGCAGAACTCGGCCAGCCTCGGCCAGACTCGTATAACACCCTAAGATGACATGGCTAGTATAGCGGGCCGAAGGGCCGCGATTTCTCTGGTTCAAACCACCCTATTTGCCAAATAGTATTTGGCATGACATACGTTGGGCCCGGAAGTGGCATACGTTGGGTCCGGTGGGCATACCTGGCTGATCGCATGTCTCGCGCGCCCGCGTGGCGTGCGAGATTTACACGGAAATTTCCATTTCCACCGTTTCCGAAATTTTCCGTGATAAAATTTCCTTTCCGCGAAATTTTGACGCTTGCCCGCCCAAAGGGCAAACCCTGCTTTCCTCAGCTGCTGAGCTCAGAAGAGTTAGTAACCATACTTTGGTGCTTCAATGTTGGGGCCGCTTGAGGGGGTGGTCTTTCCTCTAGCACGCGGTTATACTCTTCAACTGAACGCCTCGCCATTTAGGCCGCCTGCCTAACCGCCGCCTCACCCAACTCAGCACGAATGAACTCGTCATAGGTCTCCTGAGCTGCCTCCTCAGGATCACGACGCACCAAGGGGGCCCGAGGGCCCTCCCCCTCCGCTCGGGGCAGAGTGGGGGTAGAACCAGAAGCTGAACCAACCATCTCGTAGTTGTAATCGTTCGTAACAAGGAGCTGCTACCAAAAAGGTGTCGGGGTATCGGTCGATGAACTCTAAGAACAACACAACAAGGGAACTCGAGCTAGAGCAACCAATACTACGACCCTAGGACAATAACAGTAAGCGCACTACCTGCACTTAAGTTCTGTACGAATACACACTTAGCAGCACAGTAATCGATATTGGGCTCATCCGCTATAATGAGGAAAGCGAAGGTTTGATGAGATAACAAGGGTGCAGGCAAACTGGACCCGCAACACATGCCGTCACAATTGCAGCACACGCTGCACAAACGTTAGCTGTCCGCGCACGCCCACTGTGACAGTGGCACTGTCCGTGCGCCAGCCACACGCCCCCCCCCTTTCCCGAGGATGAATCGGAATCCGATTATCGGATCGTCAAGCTGTTGCACAGCGGCGGGCGAAATACGTTTCAAATAGTGTAAGTGAAGCGGACGGGGCCGCCGGCTACCAACAGTACGATCAGTGTAAACTTTCGGAGACATACAGAACACAATCCGGCAAGACTCAAAAAATCGATGAGGCTTCCGCAGAAGACCGAAACGGCGAACCAGCCACACTTCGCCGACATCCGGAAGACCACCAGAAAGTGGCGCGATAGGAGAATGTGGTGCAGAAGGAGAGGACGGAGTCAATGCTGGTAGCGGACGAAAGGCCGGATCCAGACCGGGATAAGGCCAGGCAGGATAGGAGAAAATCAGAGCGTGAGGATGCAGGGGTCCGCGGCAATTCGCCGCTCCAACCGGGCGGCGAATCCTAATTTTCTAAATCCTAATCCGAATTTTCTAACACTCCAACCGCACAGTGAATCACCGGAGCACGAGATAACATTCCGTCAACCGTTGACGGAACGCAGTGAAGGGCTGACGACTTCGGCGAGCAGTGTCGGATTGGTGTCGGTCAGAAAGCACTGGCGCAGTGAGAGTTGGGCATTGACAACTACCACTCCGCGACGATAGCGGGCATCTTAGCCGAGAATAGTCACCAGAGGCATAGACCTCGCCAGGGTTAAGGTACGTGCGTCGTAGTCTACGATATCGACCGGAGAGAGAACCTCCGGATCTATTGTTCCAGCAACGAGTAGAGCAAGACATAGCAAGCATAGAGACCATTCCATGATAGGATTCGGATACCTACCTTTCATGGCCGGGCTCGCAGATGGACCACCATAAGACCTGTCTTTCCTGCTTGAAATCACGAAGATCCTCCCTAGGCAACTCCGAGTTAGAAGAGTGATTATGAAGTCTCCATCTGGTGTGCTCCTACTGCTGCAGGCTGGTCTTGTATGACTCATTGATGCATTCAGTTTGGCATGCAGGCTAGGAGAGAGCCTCCTACGACCAGAGAATCCACCACCATGTGATGACGCCACGAGGAACGCTATGTTACACTTACTGACGGACATTTGGGATATTGGCTAGCCGCTGAGCTTGCATGATTGCACTTCGGGAGTGGATACGGCCAGCAGCCATCAGCGCTAGCCAGTTGGTCCGCCGGTTTGAATTCATTACCTATGAAGGCTACGAGTGATGCTAAGAGAGTCCATGACGATCCAAAACTCACCAAACTTGAGTGATCTGTGTCGAATATTCTTACCAGTAACAATGCCATGATTTTTCATGAAGTTCAGTCCTTCAATCAGGTTGCCACGATTACAGCCATTCGATCTGAAGATGAATTGGATCTTAGCTGTCATTCAGAGAACGCGTTGCCATTGTCCGCGGTTGAATGCATATCCCTCACTTAAGACATCCATTAGCACGATTGCAGCATGAAGTGATGTAACCGAGTGATAGGATATTTCTGAAGCTACCGCCGGATTTGATGCACAGACGATCATTAAACGTTCCGGTTGAGCCACTAACCCAGCAGTTATGACAGGCAGTGCCTGTCAGGCACTTCGGTCCCAGAAAGATGAACCTCCATCCAGGAGTTGCGATAACAGCAGTAAAAAAGGCTACCTCACATGCCCAATGACTCCAGCACAAGAGGCAAACTTCTACCGAGCATCAAAGTCACTTGGTGAATTCGTCAACACCGGTTCTGTGGATCCGAGGAGGCGAATTTCGTCATCAAAAGTCGAAGAGGGCTTCAGATCGTCAAGAGACCCAGTAGGGACATCTTTGATTGACGTACCTGCCGAGTAGTAGCACTGGTTCTCGACTTTGCCGCTCGAGCCGTAGTGTTGACCATGAAGTTCATAACGTACCTTTGAAAGGCGGCTGATCTTTGGAGGCCGTCCATGAGTTCTGCATCGAGTTGATCTTGTCAACCATGGATTGCAATAGAGCCGGCTTAGTGTTGTTAAAGAGCTCAATCAAAAATTCATTTGGCTCTCCTTCCTGCAGAAGCACCTCTCCCAGCTGATCTTGGAATCGGGAGAAATGTTCAGTGTGCTCATCGGGGGTATAGACAGAACCTCAAAAGAGAACCACAACGCTTGAGCGAATACATTAGAAGCATTCATACCACTCAAGTCAGTGATCTTGTCGAATACTCCTCGGATGTTCGGACTCTCACCTTGAGATAGGGTAATCAAGGAGCACAATCCGACGAAAAAGAGAGAATTGCTCATATGAAAGGGAGAAGAATAGCAGAGCCGAAATCTAACAGACCATTACGTTGAAAATGTACTCGTCTGGCGCAAACGGGATGTTTATTTCAAGAGTAGCTGATACAGTTGTAGAGCCAGTGACTGCCTTGAAGTACTTGCCGCTCGGTGGAGGGAACTTAGCATCAGACTGGGTAGCCAGCGAAGCAATAATAACAAAATGAAGCAGGATCGCGACCATGACGAGCGTATGGGCTTTGTTACGAGGATGATATGAGTTGCTCAACCAACACAAATGAGAGGAGATACAACTAAGAAAGAGGAAAAGACTTTTCCGAAAAGTTAACTCGGGATTGCAAAGTCCTCGCATCTTGTGGAAGCGAGAAGCGGCTTGCGGGTTCATGTGGGACTCTCGCGTGAGTACGTGAGTGTGTCCATGGTAGAACATATGGTATGTCACGCACTGCGTGCGCAATTAGTTCCAGGAAAGGTTTTCGGAGGAGTACTATGCCTAACGCAAGGCATTCAGTGAATCTTGCGGAAGATCTCGTTTCGACTTTTCGAAGTCTTGGAAAGGCTGATACATTGAAAGGCACAGGGGCGTGTAGGCACCTCATGCGAGATTTCATCTTCTTACGTCCAAGTCGGTCGTGTATCATATTGATACTATCAATATGAAGTCCGCCTAATTGGCGAGCTATTCCTGCAGATTCATATTCACTAGACCTTCGTGACGAAGGGGCGGAGCTCACTGAGTCCACGTCCATGGATTCAACCAATGAATTTTACCTAGGTTCGGTTTTTGGTTCGATCCCCGGGTAGGAGTGCTACCGTAGGACATTTCTCTATCATTAAAGTTTTTCGTGCATATCTTTTCGAACTGTTCGCATAATCGAGCTCACCGATCTTTCCCAATGCCTCTCCATATAGAGGAGTCGTTGGACCTATCTGATAACCTCCCACGTTTCGCAGATAAGCCAGAATAATTCTGCACACAGCACGCACAACGCGAAAGTGCCTGTTGTTGCGGTATATGCTCCGCTCGTTTCGCTCGCTCCGCAACTCCCCGTCGTGGAATTCGGAGATCCGGCTTCCCGAATACCGCTCGCCCAGCGGTGCTGGGTATTATTGGGAGAAAGTTTCTCCCAAGACACCACCACTAAGTGAAACAAGCAGAATCACCGCTGCCTTGCCCTCAGGAAGCTGAACCTTCTGAACGACTCGGAGGAAGGGTCTCCATAATCACCGATAAGGTTAATTCAACTTCCATCCGACCCGTTGTTTGGGAGGCATCAGTCATCAGTTGATCATCACCATTCCCTCTTGTGTTACGAGTCTAGATATTCTACACATCTTCCGTTACCGTTCGTTGCCGTTACCATGGCGAAGAAACTCACCCAATATTTCAATAAATTTAT